ATTTCCATCTACTTGTCCATCAAACGTCTGTGTCCGGGCGTGATTAAAACGAGGTAAATGCAGTGTCGTATCGCAGTTTTCCACGAAGTTGGCATTGTTAAGTTGAGCGGCCTTGATCTTTCAGCTTGTGTTTAAACCTGGGTAATGAGGTGGCTATTGGTGTGTCAGTGTCGGTACAAATTCATAATAATGGTCAGAAATTTGAGAGAACACTCAAGCTAATTTGTTGCAAATAACGATAAAATTAAGCTTTTAATAAAAAGTAAAAATATAATTTAAAGAACTAAAAAGTGTTTAATTGTACATATATATAAAAATGGTATATTGCGAAGGCTTCTACTTCTATTTTGCCCGGTCGAATCGACTCATTCGGGCTGCAATCGAAATAAAGTATGTTTCACATAATAGGTTCTGAAGTTGGTGCTAAGACACAGTGCGTCGACGTAGCTACTACATTTTTTTAGATAATTGAAGTATATTTTTACTTTTTAATAAAAGTTTTTTTTTTTCACTTTTTAGTTGCCTACGGAATATCACAAGCTCATGGTAGCTAGAATATTACCTAAACATTTCGCTTCGACATTAAAAACTAAATATCCCTTAATAGGGGTATTTTTTTCTATTTAAAAAATGAGAATCTATTAAATCAATTCACAGTTGGTAAAGGTAAAGAAAGGTAAAGTCTAACATACCACAGCCTACTTAATAAAATAACAAATCGAATTTTGAAAAATACGTTCCTCGATTCCGGAAAATGCGACTTAGAAGTTGTTTCCGCATAGTTCGTTCTTTCCTCTGCATCTACAGTAAAGTATAGAGGCACGGCGTTTAGGAACTGCATAATGAGTGTACTTATCGCTACGTCAGCGCTCTAAACGCGTCCGCTTATGCTATTTCCTCGTCGTCGACAATGTTTCTAATGGACTCCACACGACTAGCCGTGGGGCGCTTAACGCGATTCTTGAACTGCTCATTTTCTTAACCGTTAAGAGGGGTGAACGTGAAAAGCTGTCATCATTAGAGCGAAATGAAACACGCGGTCACAATATCGTCGCGGATTCCGGTGAGATTCCAATCTCAGTGACAAAAGGCATTATGTCGCGTGACGGCGAGCGAGCCGGCACCGTGCCCGATCCGTGCCGCATGTAGAGCGTAATACGAGACTCGTTTTAATTGGGACAATTTCTATTTGTCACGCGACGTGTCCCACGCGGCCCCGACGCAGCGACAACGCGCAGCTAATTGGCGTCTGATGCGCGCTTGACTCGACTCATATCGGTGGGAACGACGCGTGCGGTCTGTTTTCAAACACGACAAGGGATATCCATTGTTTTTAAATGTCAGCACTACATTAAAAATTTACCCTGTACCGTGGAGATGTTTTATATGGACAAACATCTAAACCAAGTATTGGCGAGGCCTAAAAGTAATGGTTGTGTTATTATTTTTATGCCATATTAATTCCTGTTTCGAACTCTTTAGCCATTACGCGACCCAGCGGTCGTCTATGACTTCCATTGTTGCACCAGCGCAGGGGTGTCAAACTCTATTATCTATAGAGCCATTTACAAAGTTAGAAAAGGGTATGGGGGGGGGGGGATTGTGTAATAAGAGAAGAGTGTGGTTTGCAAGATGATGTTGTGACCAGGATTAAGAAAGGAATGCTTCGGTGGTTTGGTCAAGTGGAAAGAATGAATGAGGAAAGAGTGACAAAGAAAATTTATGTTGCAGAAGTGAATGGCAGAGTCGGAAAGGGACGTCCTAGGCGAAAATTTATCGACCAAATTGGCGATTTATGGAAAACGGGCCAAATTAGGAGTACCCTTAACCGACGAGCATGTATGCGTAGGTGTATGGATGTGAAGGAGGCGAGAGAGGTGTGTCAGGATCGTGCCAAATGGAAGTCTGTAGTCTCTGCCTACCTCTCTGGGTGACAGGCGTGAGTGTTTATGTTTTAAAAGGATATGGATGCTAGTGACCTGTGAGCGAAAACTAAAGATGTTAAAAGTTACTTTGCAACCATCCGCTCAATAAATTCGGATGCTTGTAAAGTAACTCTTAACATCTTTAATATAATGGATTTCCGCAAAGTAACGCTTGACTATTAATTATGTGAACGAAAAGATTTTGGAAACTCTTATAGGTAATTTAAAACTCTAATCGAATTAACTGAACTTTATCATGTAAGTAGGTGGGTAATTACCTTTTTAGTTCATTCCATTAAATAATTATGTTATGTTAATTTGTGTGTATGTTTCGAACTAAATAAATTATATTATTATTTGGGGTATCTATATAGTTTTCTCACCTGGTTGGGTTCTATAAATATATAATTATAAATTAAAATGAAAAGATAAATATACATAAATATCAATAAAATAAAATAAATACAAAAACTACATAAATAAATAAGATCCAACCAGATGGGAGCCCTCGGCAGGGGAGACCAAACGGCCGAGGGTTAGGAGGAAAGGGAAAGAAACCGGCGGGCGATGCGGGCGGTATCGAGGAGCACCGCCTTCTGCATTTGAGCCCGGAGCGGTCCGTCACGGAGTCCCAGTCGCCTCAGATGACCCGAGAGGCTGACTGGGATTAGCCCATTCGCAGAGACGACTACAGGAATAATTTCGGCCGGCATACCACCCCACATGTCGGTCACCTTGTGAGCCAGGTCCAGATATTTTGTTCGTTTATCTGTTTCGGCTTTCACGAGGTTCTCGTCACACGGAATGGTAATGTCGACCAAAAATATCCTTGACTGTGCCCGGTCCATCAGCACAATATCAGGCTTATTCGCAAGAATAGTCCTTTTTGTGATGATGGCCCGGTCCCAATAGAGCCTGGCGCGATCATTTTCGAGCACGGCTTCCGGCAAGTACTTTTAATACGGCAATTTCCGATCCACGAGACCGTATTTCAGAGCGAGCTCCTGGTGTAGAATTCTGGCTACTAGGCTGTGCCTGTGCAAGTACTCAGAGTTAAAAAGCGCCGAACAACCGGAAATGACATGCCTAAGTGACTCCACGGGATGGCGACGAGCTCGACAGACGTCGACAGTGCCATCCTTTAGCATGTATCTCCGATAGTTGTGGTCTTAATAACCAGATCCTGTATTGCACAGACAAAACCCTCGGTTTCCCCGAAGAGGTCACCGATGCGTAGCCAGTTGAGGGAGGCGGCTGTATCTACGTGGGGCTCATGTAGAGCCCTGTAGTACCTCCCGTGGAGCTCCTTCTCCTTCCATACGGTATATATATCGTATGGAAGGAATACATATTATTATTAATTTAATTTTCTGATCTGCAGTGTGCTTTTGCCGTTAGGAATCGTAGTTGGGATTGTTTTGATGTTTGATGTTTGGTTTCGTCGTGTTGTATAAATGTATCGGTATCGATTTAACCCAATAATAAAAATATCTTATTTTAGATTACAAATATTATCATAATAAAAATACATAACTCACTTGCAAACAAACAAGCAAGCAAGCAAACAATTCCTACCAGAGGTACACAATCGCACCACTCGTCGCGGGCCGCTTGATAATGCCAAATGATACGCGGGACGCTTGCGACTCGTGGCTCGGGTTCGAGTGAAAAAATGGAAGAAACTGTGTAAGCTTTAAGACGCTGTCCCATTACCAGTCCACTGCTGAATATAGGCTTTAAACGAGCAATTCTTGTATATATATATATTATATATATATATATATATATATATATATATATATATATATATACAAGAATTGCTCGTTTCATCATTCGAACCATGGTATTACGATTTTACGAAAAAAAAATATATATATATATATATATATATATATATATATATATATATATATATATATATATATAATCGGAATCTCGGAAACGGCTCCAACGATTTTCATAAAATTTTGTGTGCAGGGAGTTTCGGGGGCAATAAATCGATCTAGCTAGGATTTATTTTTAGAAAATGTCTTTTTGTCCGCGTTTTTAGGCAATGAAAAACTGCTACAATATCGTTAGAATAAGAAGGTAAATTTTGACATTTTATTAATGATTACAAATAGCTTAATTGGTATATTAGGCGGTCACAAAATCGTAATACCATGGTTCGAGCCCAGACCGACCGACCGACTTTTTTTAATTTTTTTTTCAAGTTCCTTTCTTTTTTGATAAAATCTATTTTTTCGAGCCCTTTTTTTAGTATTTTTTAAAAACACGAAAATTTAAATTAAACTAATTGCACTCATGATTTTTTATTCAAATAACCAGTTCAGTTTTTTCTATTATGTCGCTAGGATCAAAAAATATTATTCGTATTTCATCAGTATGTAATTTGTATCTAAATATAATTTCCAAAACACACGAATTAAAAAAAAACCGAGCGAAAAATACCGAGCAAAGCTCGGTCAACCGGATACTAAAAGTTTTATACGTAATAGAGCCATGCTGCAGTTATATTAGTAGTATAGTTGTAGCACGAATGGGTCGGCTCGACCGGGGAAGGACCACGCCCTCACAGAACACCAGCGTAAAATAGTAGCTTAATGCTGCTGTGTTTCGTATGCATATTCCCAAACATAAAGATTAAGTAATTTCGTTATAATTTCAACTATAGTGATTTTTTAGAGGTGTTTTCCCAAATAATTATGATCGAGTCGAAATTATACAATCGTGTTTTTGAACAATCAAATTCAACATAAAGACATGAATTTACCTGTATCAAAATTCCACTTTCGTTAGTTGTGTCATAGTCCTATACTATTCGATGAAAGGAGATGCATTTTTTCACGGTGTCGCCTTAACTCTTTTTATATTCCTGACGTTTCGAGTACTTTGCAACACTAAACGTCAGGAATATAAAATAAGTTAATTAAACACGATTTTTTTTAATGTGATGAATTTAGGCGACTGGTTGTTTTTGGGTATTCTTCGGGATAGGCCTATCTTCCGCTGTAGCCTTATAGGGGCCATAATAATGATGATAAAGTTTTAACTGAAATTACCGTATTGTTCCAGGCATATTCACGGTCATGTGCTACAATGTGTTGTGCGATAAGTACGCAACGCGACAGATGTACGGCTACTGCCCCAGCTGGGCGCTCGAATGGGACTACAGGAAGAAGGGAATCCTGGACGAGATCAGGCATTACTCCGCGGACATTATAAGCTTACAGGCGAGTAGTATTTTTTGCTATTTTCTATCAACTGCTCTATTAATATCTCTATTAGAGATGGGCCGAATATGCATTTCACCGAATACGAATATTGGGCCGAAAGTTCGGTATAACTTATACCGAACCGAATATTCGGCCAATATTATTCGGCAGGATCACCTCGGTACCTAACCAATTTATGTCGAAACTTATTGCCGTAAAACGCGCGGAATTAGCGCCGGACCCCACCACACCTGATATGTTTTTAAATCATCTATAATATAGTACTGAGCAAATTCCCGGCACATGCTCTTTTTAGGTGAGAAAAAAAAGTATTTCGTTGTGTTATTCTTAGTAAAAATTGATAATTATATGATAAAAGTGAGAGGCAGGTTATCTACTATTTGACTAACTGACACCGAATGAAATGTACTTATTGTAATGTAATGTTTCTTTGTTTGATTCCAGAAATATTTTATCAGGTTTTCTATTTGCTTATAATTGGAAAGAAATCTACAGTGCCTCAAAAATATGACATTTCAAGTAGATTTAGCCCATAAATAAATATACTTTCAACAATAAAATTATGATTATTTTTTCAATTCGTACATTTCAATACAGTAGACACTGAGTACTTAAGCGAATATTCGGTGATTTAGCCTAATATTCGGCCGAATACGAATATTCGGTAAACCTGCCGAATATGCCGCATACCGAATATGAAACGAATATTCGGCCCATCTCAAATCTCTATCACTCTCTTTCACATGTGTTATTAATTTAGGTTTCAAATAATTAATTTGATTTAAGCTTTGTGTGAACTTTTAATGTTTATTATGTTCGAATTTTGGCTACAAACACATACAACATTAAAAGGTTGGGTTGATTTGCATGGAACTATATTACTTAGTAATATCTCAATGTTGATTTATTCTGTCTGTTCGTATGTTGACGAGACCAGGCGCGAGATTAGAACATAGAATACGCGATGTTATAGCCAGGCCCGACACTCGCGGTGGTCATAAGTAATTCAGTACGTAACAAGGTTCCTAACGCGATGTCATTCGCGTCAAACGAGAAGAAGCTGTTGTAGTCAAAATCTGTCTGTTATTTTTTTATAGAAGTTGAAGTTGAAGGGTGATAAACGATCATACAGTTCGCCTGATGGTAAGGGTATGTTGTGAGCTCTCCCATCATTGCATGCAAATGAGTAGTCATCCCTAAGGATTGAGAATCCGATTCTGATCTCTCAAGATACGAAACACGGCGGCGCGTCAGAGAATGCTATTAGAATTTTTAAACTAAACTTTCAAAAACCTATTTCAATTTTTATCGGTTTTGGTTGATAAGGAACTGTGAAGATATTTATTCTCTATCAATCAATAAAAATCCACTAATTAACTTCGGCAGTATCGTGTTTCTCACATCACACATACTAATAAAATAGAGGCGAATTGATTACCTCCGACTTTTTGACGTCGCTTCTTTTAAAATGTGATTAAACTTTCTGTCTTGGAATAAGGCTAACGCTTGAACAGGATATGAGCTTTTATAATAATCCTTCATTTCTATTAGTTTCCTTCGGAGTGCTTAGCCCCCAATAGAGTAAAGAACACCATTTACATATGCATTCTCTCTTAGTTCTATATTCTTGTCATGTCCATCCTTGCTAGGCACACATCTTAAATGCACAAACTCATCTTCTTTTTCGATCCCCTCTTATTTTTTTATAAAATAAGGGAGACAGACGAGCACACAGACCACCTGATGATAAGTGGATGCTGTGGCCCATAGACATCTACATTTATCCTAGATTAAGCATCAAAACGCAGATGCGTTGTCACCCCTTAAGACTAAGATGGAATGCCTCGTTTCCAGTAAAAAAGGGTATCCGGATCACTACAATCATCATACGAAACACAGCAGTATTAAGCTGCTATTTTACGATGGTATTCTGTGAGAGTTCTGTGGTTTACATTTATCCTTCCTGGTCGAGTCGATCCATTCGTGCTACAACCATAATAGAGCTGCAGCGTGGCTCTACCACGTATAAAATGACATCATCTTATGACAACCGTCTGTTTGTGTAGACCACTTTGTATCCCGACACAAGCACTAGAGTCCCTATCAAGAGATTTTAGTGCCTGTCAGTCCAGCAATCAAATCTAAACGAGGCCATGTCTCCCATCCCATCGTCTCCCATAATGCAACCCTGTCCACTTGTCTACTATCTTTTATAGGTATTGAATTAAAGTAATAAACGAACTAACTCTTCACATGATGGTAAGTGGGTATTACTGCCCACATACAACAGCAACAGATTTATAAACAAAAAAGTCTACAGGTCCGCCATCACATTTGTATAATAAGTTTTTTACACAGCCGGTTTCAATTAATAATGTAGACCCCTGATCAATCCCCTATGATCATCTTGTCCAATCCCTCGTTAGCATATATCCGCTGTGCACCTTCTCAATCAATGTAGTCTTAGAGAAAGACCATTGTGTTTGTGAGATAGGTAATTTAGAATGTTGAACTGATCTTGACGCCATTTCGCATTGTGTGCCGTTAAATACTATATCAATTTCATATTCTCTGAAATCGATCATGGAAAGTCCTCCAACAAATGCCTGTGAATGTTGTAGTTGTTTGTCTTTTTTTTACATAACAATTTTCAGCGCAAATAATTTCGTTTGAAATACAAAAGAAATGAAGATTTTTTTATAAATATTTATAAATCAAAACCAGAACGAATCATCGTTATCGTCTATATACCCATGAGTTAAAAAACAGCTTTACGATTTTATAAAAATGTATTAAGACAATCGGGTAGATTTACTTCGGAATTAAAATTTAAACTACCTACTATAAAATTTTTATTTTAATTTTAATACGTCTGATATGAGCTGTGGTAAAGGATCGTACGTAAAAATTCTAACTAGCTTGTTTCAGTCTGTCAACCGCACCTGCAAGTGGGTGATGCTCACTATTGAAACTGTATCCGTATTTGCTGAACCCAAAACTCCTAGATGTCGAGGAGCAGCATTAACAGCGCGGGACTTATATCACTACTTTTACTAACTCCTTTAGCCAGCGTGGTAAATAACAGCAAATCTTACAATAAATACAGCATTGAGCGCATCCTTGGCACGGCTTTAGGCAGCAGTGGGTTTAATTTATAACCTGAGATTGAGTTGATTGTGTAGTGATATCATACGATAAACCAATACTTTATTTCGTCCCGTGGTGTGGGAATCGCAAGAGGCGACCATGGAATATGCCAAAATGTCCTATGGCTCTGATCAATGGCAGTATTTCGTTTATGCCAAGCGTATAATACCTAGACCTTTTATGAATTTAACAACGCTATGGTAAATGATTTTCAGGAATTATTACATTTTGTGTAGTAATTATTATACATTTGGCGTTAAGTGAATATGGGATAACAAGTATCTTGATACACAGGAGGTGGAAACAGATCAGTTCTACAACTTCTTCCTGCCGGAGCTAAAGCAAGACGGTTACGACGGTATCTTTTCACCCAAGTCACGCGCTAAGACTATGTCCGAGTCTGAGAGGAAGTATGTCGACGGCTGCGCCATCTTCTTTAGATCTGCCAAGTATGTTCTAAAAATATGTTCAACACATTAAGATTAAAAAGTAAATAATAAAAGTACATCATAGTTGTTGTAAATAAGAGACGCAACGTAAACAAATGTTTTTCATCCTTCATTCATTCATCCATTCACTATTCATACACACACTCTCAAAGATCCATGGCTGAACATAGGCCCCATATATCGATTCATGGGGGGCGGGGGAATTATTACGTGTTAATCTTCTAAATATATGTATATAGCGACAGTAGCCTAATGGCAGGGCGCGGATCACGATCTCAAAAAGGTTGTGGGTTCAAATCCGCCATTCGACTACTGGCGTGAACCACTCGTAACACAAGCGGTTTAAGCTTACCACGAGTGGTTAAGGGGAATATTAGTAATGTTTATAGCATTGTTAATATTTTTTTATATGTATATGTTTAAACCTGCTTAAAATATTTCATGTTGAAGAAAATCAACAAATTTAGGTTAAAATTTATACAACCAAGGGTTAACTAACAACTTTGAATAAAAAAAATCCATTATTCAAAAAATAATACCATAAATAAATATTGATTCTTTGTTCACAGGTTTTCTCTAGTTAAGGAACACTTAATAGAATTTAACCAATTAGCAATGGCGAATAGCGAAGGCTCGGACAACATGTTGAATCGCGTCATGCCGAAAGACAACATTGGCCTGGCTGCTCTCTTGAAAACGAAAGAAGCGGCGTGGGAAAACGGTAAGATGCTTAGGTTTTTTTTAAAGTAACAAACGAACTTTCTACTATTTTCAACATGGTAGAGCCACGTTGCAGCTATGTATATTATACTTGTAGCACGAATGGGTCGGCTTGACCGGGGCAGGACCATGCTCTCATATAATACCACCGTAATGCTGCTGTGTTTCGGATGGTGAGTGTAGAGAACCGGAGACCCTTTTTACCGGAAACGAGGCATTCCATCTTATTCCTCAAGGGTGACAACGCATCTGCAGTTTGATTCTTAATCTAAGTTAAATGTAGGTAGGTGTCTATTGACGACAGCATCCACTTACCATCAGGTGGACTGTGTGCCCTTTTGTCACTCGTGTCCTGTAGTCTTATATATATCATCATCATCATCATCATCATTACAGCCCTTCACAAGTCCACTGCTGAACATAGGCCTCCCCCAAGTAATGCCACAAAGCACGGTCCTGAGCCACCTGCATCCATCGACTTCCTGCATATCTTACCAGGTCGTCACTCCATCTAGTGGGGGGTCGCCCTACACTACGCCTACCGGTACGAGGCTGCCACTCGAGAACCTTTCTTCCCCATCGGTTATCGGTTCTTCGAGCTATATGGCCGGCCCATTGCCACTTCAGCTTACTAATCCGTTGGGCTATGTCGGTCACTCTGGTTTTACTGCGGATATCCTCATTTCTGAGTCTATCACGCAGAGAAACTCCGAGCATAGCCCTCTCCATAGCTCGCTGAGCGACCTTGAGCGTCCTCATACGGCCAGCAGTGAAGGACCACGTCTCAGATCCGTAAGTCATTCACTGGCAACACGCACTGGTTGTACAATTTAGTTTTTAGAGATTGAGGTATACCTGACGAGAAGATGTGTCGTAATTTCCCGAACGCTGCCCAGCCGAGTTGAATCCGTCGATTGACCTCTCGGTCGTAGTTGGACTTACCTAGTCGGACTATTTGTCCCAGGTAAACATACTCGTCAACAACTTCGAGCATAGTGCTCCCAACAACTACCGGCATAGGTGTGACATGGACATTAAACATGATCTTTGTTTTGTCCATGTTCATCTTAAGACCTATCCGTTGGGAGGCACTATTGAGGTCATTGAGCATAGTGCTTAAGTCCTCCAGCGATTCTGCCATAAGGACTATATCGTCGGCAAATCGAAGGTGAGTGATGTACTCGCCATTGATGTTAATACCGTATCCTTTCCAGTCCAGTAGCTTGAAAACGTCTTCCAAAGCAGCGGTGAAGAGTTTCGGGGATATAACGTCACCCTGTCTTACACCTCTCTGCAGTTGGATAGGTTTCGAGCTCTGGTTCTGTACTCGGATAGCCATCGTAGCCCTACTGTACAAACACCTCAGCACTTCGATATACCGACAGTCAACTTGGCACCGCTGAAGGGACTGCAGCACCGCCCAAATTTCGACGGAATCAAAGGCTTTCTCATAGTCCACATACGCCAGGCAAAGTGGCAAATTGTACTCTTCAGTCTTCTGTACAATCTGCCGCAGGGTATGTATGTGGTCTATGGTACTCAAGCCTTTTCGGAAACCGGCTTGTTCGGGAGGCTGGAAGTCGTCGAGTCTGCGTGCGAGACGATTCGTAATGACTCTCGAAAACAGCACGTAGACGCGGCTCAGAAGGGAAATCGGTCTGTAGTTCTTCAAGAGAGCGTTGTCGCCTTTCTTAAAGAACAAGACCACCGCACTTCTGCTCCACGCCTCCGGAGTAGTGCCACCATGAAGGACGGAATTGAAGAGCTTCTGAAGGACTTCCAGTACCGGTGTTCCACCCGCTTTCAGAAGCTCCGCTGTAATTCCATCCCCGCCTGGGGCCCTGCCGTTTTTAAGGTGCTGGAGAGCCTTTCTAATCTCGCTCAGACTGACGTCCTGGATATCATCGTAATAGTGTCGGATAAGACTTGCTCTTGGATCGTTACTCGCACTTGCGTGTGGCTCCAACGATGATGTGTACAGCTGCCCATAGAACCTCTCAATCTCACTCAACATCTCAGGTGTCCCGGAAACGATGCTGCCACATTCAGTCTTCAGCTTTGACAGTTGGCTCTTTCTGGCAGACAGTCTATATATATATATATATATACAATATGTAACGCTCCATAAAATGACAGAGAGAACCCTAATAGCACGAATGAGTCGGATCGACCTGGGAGGACCACGCCCTCACAGAATACCAGCGTAAAATAGCAGCCTAAAATTATTGTGTTTCGTATATTGAGTGTAGAGTTCCGGAGACCCGTTTTTACTGGAAATGAGACATTCCATCTAAGTCATTAGGGGTGACAACTCATTTGCAATTTGATGCTTAGTTGGGGATAGATGTCGATGTCTATGGGCCACAGCATCCACTTACCATCAGGTGGACTGTGTGCTCGTTTGTCACCCAATGCTATAAAAAAACTTACAGTCCACCTGATGGTAAGTGGCTACAGTCCATGGACACCTGCTGCAAACTTCAAACGAAGAAGGCTAGAGGTGCGTTGACACCCCTAAGGTCTCAAGAATACCTCACAGTCTGTAGTTATATTGGCTCTATGTCCTTCAGACCGGACCCCAGCAGTGTAAGCACTGCTATTTGACGTCAGCGATGGATAAGAGCGGTCCAAGCGGACTCCTAGGCAAATTAGGTGTCCTACCGACTAGAATGATGTGTTTTATTTCACAGTAAAACTATTGACAAAATAATTTGAACAACATAACTATGTTTTTACATACATACATAAACACTCACGCCTGTCACCCAGAGGGGTAGGCAGAGACTACAGACTTCCATTTGGCACGATCCTGACACACCTCTCTCGCCTCCTTCACATCCATACATCTACGCATACATGCTCGTCGGTTAAGGGTACTCCTAATTTGGCCCGTTTTCAATAAATCGCCAATTTGGTCGATACATTTTCGCCTTGGACGTCCCTTTCCTACTCTGCCATTCACTTCTGCAACATAAATTTTCTTTGTCACTCTTTCCTCATTCATTGTTTCCACATGACCAAACCACCGAAGCATTCCTTTTTAATCCTGGTCACAACATCATCTTGCAAACCACACTCTTCTCTTATTACACATTTCCCATTCATATCATTAGTTTTTAATGGGCCTAATTAAAGATATGTTGTTATTGGGAAATAAAAAAATATCCTAATTGTAGCTAGTAAAAGTAAAGTTGTACTTAATCTTCTTAAAATTAACCTCTATCCCTAAAACAATTAGTCTACCATGCTTCAGTACCTACATGAAGGCAGAGTTAAAATGTCTTTGAAATATTTTTAGTCTTCAGATACGCAAGTTTTCTCACGATGATTTTTGTTTATTTTTATAGAATAAGGGTGACAAGCGAGCATACAGTCCACCTGATTAAGAATCGAAATGCAGATACGTTGTCACCTCTGAGGACTAAGATGGAATGCCTTGTTTCAAGTGAAAAGGGTCTCCGGTTCTCTACACTCACCGTGCAAAATACAACAGCATTAAGCTGGTGAAATAACAGCTAGTATTCTGTGAGAGCGTGGTCCGACCCCGGTCATGCTATAAGAATATTAAAGCTGCAGCGTGGCTCTACCTCGTAAAAAATTGCTCTTACTGCCGAGCACGTGGTAAATCAGCACTTATAATTATTGCAAAAAAAATTTTTATTAGTGCCGGCGACGATACCTGGGTTGCTTGCGTAGGTACAATGAAATTACGGCGAGCGTTTAGCACATAAGCTGCCACGGCTTTTAGCGTAGTGGGGACTCTTTTTTATCCCGTAAGTCCACCGCTGGACATGGACCACTCCCATTTTAGAATGAATTAGGCTATAAGAATAGAATAATTTTTATTCAAAATAGCTAATATGCTTTGACAACCTCCTTTGCCCAAGAAAGAGCCTAGGACCATTTTGCAGATTGCAGGCTCTTGAACTATGAAAATAGAATAATATAGAATATTTTTTATTCAACATATTACAAGAAATACTATTTATAGTATAGTAACAAGTTACCTTTACAGCTTATTAAAGTTCACTGCTGAACATAGGCCTCCCCCATAGATTGGGTTGGTATGGGCGGGGGGGAACATTTGCCATAGTTGCCACGCTTAGCAAGTGGGTTGGCAACCGTAGTTTTTTTTTAATTTTTGTCGTTATTAGGAGGACGCTGCTGCTAGCAATAATAACCTTTGCCCTGGGATGAACCAGCAAAAACACCCAGCGATACTCTTCTTATATCTTATGTCGACCCAATTGTTCATAATAACATTTCATTTTATTTAACCGTGTAGTAGCGGTGTAAGAACATGCACTACCCCATATCATCTTATGGATGACCTATGGAGACAGAGGGAAGCTGAACCAGGAGATGGGTAGCAGCATCTTTCTTATAACAGCTGAATAAAAATAAAAAACTGTATTTGCCGACGCGCTTGCCAAGCGTGGTAACTATGGTAAATATCCTCCGTATGACGCAATCCATGGGGGAGACCTCTGTCAGCAGTGGACTATTGACGGTCTGTAAGTGTATGGTAATGGTTATTTCAAAGGGATACCAACGGACTCGTCGATGCTCGGCCAACCGATCCTAGTGTGTACGGCACATATACATTGGGACCCGGAGTTCTGCGATGTGAAGCTGATCCAGACGATGATGCTGAGCAACGAGCTACGCAGTATCTTGGACGACTCTGCTCGCACTTTACGACTGGCTGGCCAGCGTGATAACGTACAGTTACTGCTATGCGGAGATTTCAATTCATTGCCGGACAGCGGTAAGTGTTTTGTTTTGTATATATTACTTATAATTGAACTATGTAGCTTATCCTTAGCTTATATATGTGGTTGTTCTGCCCTTTTCGATTGGTGGTACAACGAGTTTCACTCCGAGTATTAGAAATGCATTAATAACTCGACCATACCGCCATATATCGAGTAAAAATTATGTGATTTTCTTTTTTGTACTAAAGAACACACATAAACTATGTCTAAGATAATATGCTCTTTATGCGACAATGAGCAAGATGCAGTACGTGCGCGTGTCATAAATATTTTCGATGAAAAATGATACTATACAACGTGTTTAACGCTTGGAGTTTGTTTGCGCGGTAGACGTCGTAATGAAGATATGACATAGCCCATTGGACCTGCTGAAATAGCAATGGGGCGGTCATAAAGCTTGAAGAACCGATAACCGATGTGGAAGAAAGGTTCTTGAGTGGTAGCCTCGTACCGGCAAGCAAAGTCTAGGAGTGCCCTTCACTAGATTTCGGACGACCTGGTATGAGAATCGACATAGCTTATAGGTTATAGGCCTATCCGTTTAAGATTAAGTGGCAATAAATAGGACGATCATATAATGTGAAAAATCAAAAACTGATTTAGAAGCAAGGTTCTCGAATGGTAGCCTCGTACCGGCAAGCAAAGTGTCTCCTCCACTCTATCTAGCGATGTGGGCTACCTTGTAAGAAACGTAAAGTCGAAGGCCTTGGGTGAGGTCTATGTTCAACGGTGGACGCCGATCTGTGGGAGATTTCTGTTTAAAGTTATTGCGTCTATAATAGATATAATCGCACCTCAACTATCTATTATTTTTAATACTAGTATCGAATCTGGTGTGATTCCTGATTTAATGAAGCATAGTAAAGTATGTAATACCTTTATTTAAATCTGGTAGTACATAGGACCCCGCTAATTTTAGACCTATTTCTGTACTGCCAACACTTAGTAAAATTTTTGAAATAATTATTCTTGATCAAATGTTTATTTTTTTTAATGTAAATAATTTACTTCACAAAAATCAATTCGGTTTCACAAGGGGTCGCTCAACAACTAATGCTAGTGATTCGCTGATTAAATATATATTTAATGCATGGGAGAATTCACAGGATGCTTTGGGTGTATTCTGTGACCTACCCAAAGCCGTCGATTGTGTTCACCATGAAACATTAGTTAGGAAACTTCAACACTACGGTGTAAGAAGTGATGCTCTTAAATAAATTATTTCATATTTAAGTGACAGAACGCAAAAAGTTGTCATTAATAGTATGAATTCTTCCGAGTCGATTGTACAAAAGGTCGTGCCTCAGGGCTCAATTCTCGGCCCCTTTATGTTTCTTGTATATATTAATGACTTACCTTACATAGTAGGGGATAACCATGATATAGTATTATTTGCTGAGGATATTTCATTAATTTTCAAATTAAAACGGCAGTTATTAAATAACGACGAAGTAATTAATGCTATAGCTAAGTTAGTCAATTGGTTTAATGTTAATAATTTGCATTTAAAGGGAACTAAAACTAAATGTATGATATTCGTAACTTCTAATATCAAACATGTTAATACTAATGTAATTTTAAATAGGGAGGAACTGAGTCTCGTTGATACCACCATTTTTCTTGGAATCACACTAGACGCAAAGCTTCAATGGCTCCCCCATATATCAAAACTAGCTAGCAGACTTAGTTCTGCAGCATATGCTGTAAAAAGATTAGAACTCTTACCAGTGTTGAAACAGCTAGAATAGTTTACTTTAGTTATTTCCATAGCATTATGTCGTATGGTATTTTGCTATGGGGACACGCGACTGACACTGAAATTATATTTATTTTGCAGAAGAGGGCCATTAGAGCAATATATAATTTAAAACCAAAAGAGTCACTGAGACAAAAATTTAGGGAAATCAATATATTAACTCTGGTCTCTCAATACATTTATGAAAATGTAATGTACGTACACAACAATAAAAGTAGTTTTACAAAAATAAGTGATATTAATTCTGTAAATACTAGGAACAGACACAAGCTAGTAGTACCAGTTACTCGACTCCACCGAGTCAGTAATTCATTCTTGAGGCGATGTATACGCCTTTACAACAAAATCTCAGAAAATATACAAAATTTGTCGTACACAAAGTTCAAAAATGTTATTAAACTAAGTTTGTATAAAAAGGGTTATTATAATATTAAGAAATTTATGGATGATAATAACCCCTGGGAAGGGTGATCGCTACCAAGCTATTTCTAATTTGTCTTGTGTTGTTAATTGTAAACATGATTGTAAGCTATTATTGAAAAAAAAAATAGTCCCGCTGGGTTTCTTGCTGGTTCTACCCCGGACAGAGGTTTTTTGCGAACCAGTGGTAAATGAAAAAAGTGACTTTAAATAAGTATTTTTATAATCTACATTGAATTAAAAAGTTTCTGTTTCTGTTTCAAACCAATTTTTTCGTTTAACACACACATTAGAACCCACGGGTTCAAACTTATTTAGTCTATGCCTCCTTCATCGCGCTCCGCAATGATTTTGTTTGCTGTGTTTTTTCTAGTCATTACAGCCCTTCAAGTCCACTGCTGCCTCCCCAAGGAATGCCACAAAGCTCCGCCCTGAGCCACCTGCATTCATCGACTTTCTTCGTGTCTTACCGTGTCGTCGCCTCATCTAGTGGGTTGCCACCCTAGACTTCGTCTACCGATGCAAGGCGGCCATTCGAAATTCTTTCTCATCGGTTGTCGAGCTATATGGCCGGCTCATTGCCACTTCAGCTTACTAATCCAGCCTTTTCTAGTACGTAGTATATTACGTAAGTTGAATGTGTTGATCGTGACATGTGCAGGCGTGGTGGAGTTCCTGTCGTCGGGGCGCGTGTCGGCGGAGCACCGCGACTTCAAGGAGCTGGGCTACGCGGCTTCGCTGCGTCGCATGCCCGGCTCCGAGCACGAGTTCACGCACAACTTCAAGCTCGCGTCCGCCTACAGCGAGGACATCATGCCCTACACCAACTACACGTCAGTACTTACTGTCCACTGTTGTAGTGCAATCTGACATTGCAAAGTCTATTTTTTCTTGTGATGCCCCGTTTAGAGGCGAAACATATTTTTTTATATAGAAAAGAATGACCAGCTGCAACACAACGTGGTAGAGACATGCTACAGCTATATTATGGTTGTAGCACGAAGGGGTCAGCTCGACCACGGAAGAACCACGCTCTCACAGAATACCATCTTAAAATGCAGCTTAATGCTGTTTTATATGATGAGACTCCTTCAAAAAACGAGTTTATTCCCTTTTTAAAAGGCCGGCAACGCACCTGCAATTTCTTATTTTATTTTTTATAGAATAAGGTCATAAGGCTTATCCTGATGGTAAGTGGATGCTGTGGCCCATTGACATCTACATCTATCATTGACTAAGAATCAAAATGCGGATGCGTAGTCACCCCTGAGGACTAACATGGAATTCATTAAACAATTTCAAATTAAGTTAAAGACAAATACCCAAATTAAGTAGTTTTTGGAATGATTAAAAAAACATCCATTTACGTTGTAATAGAGAAATTTGGAAAACGATTGCAAGTTTATATTAAACGATACGAAATATTTCCCAAGCTGTACTCATAAAATTGCCTCTACTCAATAGATTATTCCGTTTATTCACCCTAGGCCCCCTAGGAATACGGAATAACCTCTCTACTCGGAAACGCGTGTTCGTTTTTATCCACCCTAAACGGGGTGGATAATCGGAATTCACTTTTTAATTGTTGTTCCGCCTTTCCACCCCAAGTACTACGTTCAACAGAAAATTATTCATACTTTAACATATTATTGATTCATTTTAAGGGGAAATATAACCTCAAATGGCTTAGCAAGATCCTCCGTTATGCCGAAAGTATTGCAGCATTAATTTTGAAATAAATATATGGTAAAGTTGAGGATTAATGTTAAGGTTTATGTTAGACGAAAACACGATTCCGTAAAATTTTCTCGATAGAAAAAAAATCCAAAGTTACCTCCAAACTGAACAATAAACCGCTGTTATTCATAAAATACTTTAAATAAGATCATGAAACTTTGCATACTAACTGAACTAACCATAAAGCAGTGCTTATGTTATTTACTTTTTTTAAAATATCATTATTTTCACAGTAAAAAAGAAATTACCTAAACTATCGGCGCGTAAGCTTGGTTCCTGTCGCTCCGTTAGTATTGCTCCGGCTTTTGAAGGGAGAACTTGTGTCGCTTACGATCAGAAAACACATTACGCAACAGGAAGACGTAAAATTAAAATGGGAAATAACCGTTATAAAAATAAGAAGCGCCTGGGTTGGCGTTAAGAAACAGGCATATATATGATAAACATAATGAAATAAGTATCTAACGACCTATCTACTTAGAGTATTAGTGATTACAAACATGTCGGTACATAGCATGCGACGCTCGGGGAAGTGGGGACGAAATTAGAATTTAAGCTGACTTACTCTCACCTCTTAATAACCACGAACTTAAACAAAAATCATATTACGTACGCATTTAAACCAAATTAAACTACAATAATAGTAAGTTATTTATAAATTCTATAATATGTCCAGGAAATGACCAACACTAATTTCATTATTGATAGACGTAATTGTATATCTTGTATAAATTCGTTTCTTAATAAATAGTCCGGTCAATCTAGACATTTGGTATTACATCAAGTTACAAGCTGATAATCGATAAAAATTGTTCAAAACTAAATTATTAATACAATTTTGAAGTTCCCCACCATTCCTGTGTATGGAAAAATTTTTACTCAAGGTCAAAAAATGAGTTCTTCGCGATTTTTGAAAAAAACGGTAAGTTTTATCATAAAAATACCCTAGACAAAAGTTGTAGATCATAAAATTATCTACAAAAAATATATCAATACTTTTTTCCTACGAGCCACCATTTCTGAGATGTTACGATTCAAAAACGAGTACGATCCAAGAACGAACGAGAGAAAAACGAGTTCAGCGGTGGACTTGTGAAGAGCTATAATGATAATAATTGCAAAATTTATAAATTATATAATAATGTTATTTAAAGCTAGAGAGTTTACTTTTATGTAATATGACTTATGCTTCATTTTGTGGTTTTTAGAAATTAATTAATAATTAAAGTGTATGAGTATATTTATTGTTGAACTGTACTTAGGGTAAAAAGGCGAAAGAACAATCAAAAGTGAATTTCGATTCCGAAAGTAAACACGCGTTCCCGAGCTTTTACCGTAGGGCGGGTTAAACGGAATAACCCCGATTTTATGTATCTCTGTACATGTGACCTATTTGTTTAAAACTGTGAAAGAAAAACTCATATTTACGAAATTATAATGTATTAGTCGATAAGGTTGAGTGGAAATAGTTGCCGAGTAAAATAAATTTATTAAATATTTCTTTTTAATTTCAGTTTCGATTTCAAAGGCATCATTGACTACATATTCTACAGCAAGCAGTCGATGACGCCCCTAGGTCTTTTAGGTCCCTTATCTCAGGATTGGTTTCGCGAGCACAAGGTGGTGGGCTGCCCACATCCTCATATACCCTCAGGTACGCATAACGAACCATTTTTATTTATTTTTTTATTATGTGCGAGCAGCTATGCAGGTCTAGGTAAAGAGACCAGTATCACTGCGACCTAAAAGATCTATTGTGATCGCTGCTATGGCTATAGTTCACTGCTAAGCCCTATGTCTTCAATGAATAGAAGGAGTTGCGTAGCCGTGAGCAATTTCACTTCTTCTGGGCGGTGTAGATAGTGTCCCAGATGAGTGTTACGTTTGCGCATTAAGGGTCCGCAATCCGCAATCGGTTGAGTTGCTGGGACTAAGCAATTCAAGGATGTGTCGGTTCTGTTCCATAACGGAAGAAACACCTCTACACATCCTAACCGATTGCGGACCCTTAGTACATAACGAACCATACGCAAATTTTTAAAATATATTAACGCTACAGTCTATCAAAAGTCCACAACTAAACATAGATAGGCCTCCCCTATAGATTGCCTTGTAGAGGGGATAATTACCATCGTTGTCATGCTTAGCAAGCGGGTTGGCATCTGCACTTTTTTCTTTTTAGTTGTTATTAAGCAGGCTGCTCCTGCTGCATCTCCCGATTTGTTCCCTCTGTCGCTTCTTACGACACCCACGGGACGATATGATAATGGTAGCTCCATAAATGGCATAACTCATTGGGGTATGCCGTTTATAAGGTCAAAGTAAAAAATAAAATAACGATTCCTACACAAAAGAAAATTTCTGTATTTATTATATTAAGCGATAGTAGTAATGGCAGGGCGCGGACCGCGAACTCAAAAAGGTCGTGGGTTCAAATCCGCCATTCGACTACTGGCGTGAACCACTCGTAACACAAGCAATTTAAGCTTACCACGAGTGGTTAAGAGGAATATTAGTAATGTTTATAGCATTGTTAATATTCTATTAAAAAAATTATATTGCCGTTCCGGAACGGAAATATTCCTCAGAGATTTGCGCGCTTTTTAAATTATTTCGTATCAGTTTATAAAAGTTATGTACATTGTACAAGGCCACAACAACACCACCAATATCTTGATTCCGGACTGCTAATGAGAAGTCCTTGACAGAAAAACCCAACAACTGCGTTTGGCTTGACCCCTCATGATGAACAGTCTATACCACATACTACCACTAGACCAACTAGACAATTTTTAATATATGTTAATATTAACTTTTACTTAAACTGCACGTAAATGTTACCAAGCACTTTTTTTTTAATATTTCAGATCACTTCCCCCTGCTGGTCGAGCTGGAGATGTGCCCGAGCACGAGCGGCAATTCCAATGGGCTGATCGGACGCAGGTAGCACTCGTCGCCGCGCGCTCACCGCCGCGTCCGCCACCACCACGGCCACCACACTCACCATCACCACAATCACCACACTCACCAACATCACCAACGCGATAACCAGAATCGCGACAGCGCCAAAAAGAGTTGAGCGCCGGCAAACACCCGCGCGTATCTAAGACAGTCATAGTATAGTGTTGACAGGACTCAGTGCTTTGTGTTATAGTGCAGTCAAGAGTAAAAGTGCATGTATATATAACGTGAGTAATATTTATTCTGGTTCAAGTTATTAAAAAGTCATAAAGGGTTATTTGTTGACCTATAAGGCTAATGTCGAGGTTATTAAAGAGTACAAAAAATTGTTCTACCCACAAAATCAATTATAACAGCCCTATGTAATAGACCCTCAATATAACACGAAAGTTGGGGCGGTTAAGGAGGTTAAATGGTACACCATAATATATTACAGCAAGTAGCGGTATAATAAATGTGTTTGTAATGATCATTTCCATCTCGAATATTTTTATAAGGCTAGTGTAGCTTAATAAAAAGTGTAGATAGATTATTAGTTGCTAACTTTTACTAACAAATACACGATAAGTAGTACTACTTACTAAAGAGTATCATTACAGTCTATCAAAATTGTACTGCAGAACATACATATTTGCCATGTTTGCCACACTTTGAAAGCGGCTTGGCAACTGTAGTTTTTTATTTTTTAGTTGTTGTTGAGGAGACGCTTGTTGTTTGTTTTCCTCTGTCTCACGACACACACAGGACAATGTGGGGGTAGTGGGTATACACCGCCACTGTGCTCCGTTTATGTTGTATGTAGTTTTAGCTCCCTCTCGTGTATTCCTTCATTTATTATTTTTTGAAAATTAAGATTTTGTTTAGTATTAGCATTTCTTTTTCATCTTTATAATTACAGTCGTTTTCACAAGTAAATAGTATACAAAACATGGGTTACTATCCCAAATAGATTATTTTTATGCCTACGAGTCTATTTGGGATAGTAACCCATGTATTTCTTTCACCAAGAAGCAGTGCACATAATGTTGTGTACCTGTTGGAAGCGAAGTTGAGTCATTGTAATGAGAGTCTGTGAGGCATATCTTAGTGCTCAGGCATGATTAATGATAATGCATCTATGACCTTCTTTTTTTTTAAGTTGGTTAATAGTGTCCATAAGTTGCAATAGCTACTCGCCAATATGAGGACCGTTAGGTTATTCGTGACACTAATAATATTTAAAAAAAAAACTTAACATGAGCTTCCCCTAAAGTAGGGATGGCTTTTAATACATCCCACTCTAGACAGGCGGTTTGACGATCGCAATTGCACTTTTACTACTGCTTCCTATCGATCTGGCTATTTCAAATTTGGTTTAGATTAGATGTTTATACCACCTACGGAAGTAGTAATAACTCCTGGCTTTTTATCCATAAACGCCCTTACGACACCCATGTGATAATGGGGTGAGGAATTATTTTATGTTGCCACATGGAAATAGACTAACGCAAGACCCACCGATGAAAATGTGGGTGTTAGTCAGTTAGGCACTGCGTTACAAAGATCAACGTTTATAACGATAGTGTACTGTATTGAATCTGAAAATAGATTGAACCTTAAGACTATGTTTCACTTGTATGTGTTTAACATATTATAAATATTATTTATTATAAATGTTGAAGAAATCATTAATCTAAATGTTGTCCATTCTCCTATTAGAATACATTCAGTTCTACTGTCATATGCTCATAAATTTAATCAATTGCAATATTATTAGATAAAACATATAGAATAATGTTACTCGCATTTACAGCACTTTACTTTATGACTGCAATGAACATTTGTACTTAGTGTAGTAACTATCGATATGAGAACTGAATGCGATATCTTCTTGTAACTGTACAACTTAAATGGAATATGAAAACTATGTTCAATATCAATTATTTGAAGTGATTCGGATCAGAGTGATTATTTGTTGTCAAAGGAAATTTTATGGTTTTGTTACAGGTGCAAGGAGGTCCATTCAGATCTCAATTATAACATAAATCAATGTGTTTTCAGTGATATGCTTGATTTATTTAGACTATTATGTCTGTCTCGTTGTGCAATCGTAGTATCCTGCATTTACATGTTAAATTGTATGCCTTAAGGTTCGTAAGATAAAGCAATATATCAAACGATGTTCATATTGCATGCCTTGTTATTGCTGTTAATATTATTGAACAGAAATTGATGTGAATAAATACAAGGATGAGAGTTCAAGCAATGTTCATAAGACTCCTTTGCCTGTGACGTTGACTGGGCTCTTATTGTTCTAGATTAGAAATAGTGTTTGTTAAAAATATTTCACGGAATCAAATACGATCCGCCTTAGATCTTCTACATGGTTAAATAGAAACTATCTAGACCAGAAATTAAATTAATCATGTAAACAATAAAATTTTGGACCTACGCTTATTTTGTCAGTGACTTATAAATTTATAAAGATACATATTTTTTCAATAGTGTAGTATGTGGGATACACTAACATGTTCAATATGAACGAGGTATACAGTTGAGGAATGATGACTGAGATAATAAAACTTGTTTATGGAAAAGTCTGCTCTAAGTTTTATGCTTTTGTGTTTGTTTTTACTTTTATATGTTTCATGGCCGCTTTACCTACGTAATCAGGCTTGAACGCTAATTTTATTCTATTTATAGGAAATATATTTTAATATTTTACGAAAATAGCTTTGTGGAGAGTGTGTCAAACGTCCATTTACCAATTAATATTTTCAAATTCCTCCACTGTATATAGTTTAGATTGTATTTTTAGTCTGGACATATTGTGTTGTATGTGTGTGTGGATGTGCTAAGACTCGAGGATTCTGGAGTGTTTGTCCATTAGCTTTGCCTTATTGCTCATTTGTTGTTCAAGATCAGTGAGACTTAGTGTGTGGGTTTATATTCATTTCAAAAAAAATATTTATATATCAAATAGGATCGTTTTTAAACGATGGAGGTTTAATGAATGGATAGTATAGACTTTAATTATTCTTCACTTGACTCTTAGGCTTCAATTTTAATCATGAGAAATTTCATCATAATTTCATATGACCGGCGTTAACTGCCGTATTTGTGTAAAATCTTAGATATGCAAATTATTTTTGATACTTATTTGAAAATGTTGACGATATAAAAATTATTGTTATATTTCACTGCCTACGAGTGATGTCATATTGTGCAAGAACTTTTGGGAATTATTAAGTAATACTAAGGAGTATGTGCAATGAATGTTTGATAAAATCATGTTTACAATTAATCTGGCGCTAGGTAATTTCAAATTTAATCGGACAGGTGTGATCGCATTATATTTTTGTTTTTCATTTCATCGAGCTATTAGGAAGTGTACAAGTGGATTATAATCGGTTATTATTTCACTTGACGGAGCATAAAATGATATTGTCATTTTGACATATTGCCTGACAGATGTTTTCCATCAAATGACAGCCGACAGCTTGTAGTTTTAGTTACATACCGACATATTTTTTCTAATTTCTATACCTAAAAAATAAAATATGTCTCACTGGTCGACAATTTAAAATTTATCCGCCATATTTACCTCTATTGTAAACCCGATTGTATAAACATAATATGGAAGCTGTCTGTCCGTTAGTGAAACGATAGTAGATATTGTTGCGGGTGAATGCGCCGGCGTCACAGTGACGTTAAATCGGTAATATAAGGTTTGGGAGATAGTGGTTTAGTGCGGTGTCTACTTAGAACAAAGTCGGCTGACGATATTAGGTTAATCGCATCTTGTGTCTCAACAAACTCCTCAGCGAGACTTGAAATATATTCATTTCCTCCCCACCTTTAGTCCTTTCCCATTCCCGCTTCCATACTCGTTCCTGTTTAAGGTCTCTCAGTGTAAGTGCAAATTTGTGTAGTTTAGTGATGATAAGTCTGTTTTTTTTTTTAACAAAATAATCCTAGAGCTATCATCGCCGTCGAACGATTCCCTTTAGTTTTAAGTAGGTTTTATATATGGACAATCTTTAAGGCGTTAAAAATAGTAAAACTTCACAAATCCTTATATTTAATTCTGAGAAGTTTTCGTATATTCTCCTATGTTGAAACGATTCAGTATTCGCGTCGCTTCTTTCTAATGGTCTGTTTTGGACGTTTTTTTTTTTAATAGGAGGACGTTAGACACATTTTATTTGTTAGTTATTAGTAAGCATGTAAATTGGTTATATCGGGGCTTGTTCGTCGGCGAGGCTCGTTGTGTTAGTAATAGCGGGTAGCATACTGGCGTAGTACAAATGTGTGTGTGAGTGTTTGTGTGTTCTTGTGGGCGTGGTAGACGCGTCACGTGTACTAGCAACCCTCCGTGTTAGTGTGCTGCAGTCGACGAGTTCTGTTCGTAACATTTCTATGGGTTTTCGTATCGTTACGTTCCTATGGCTGCCTGAAAAGACAACTTCGATATATTTCGAAAGGAGTCATAATGTCAAAAGTAAAAGGCTTTTAATACTAAACTGCATAGTGTCAATAACAAATGTATTATGCGGTGCGTTATAATAAGATACATTATCAACCAGCAAAATTTAAGCAAGAAAACTCAAATTTTACTTTTCATAAATTGGTTTACAAAACTAAATCACGTGACTCAGCATTCAGATTTGCCATTCCCGTTCGTTTACTACTTTTTTATTGAGTCACTCTCACTTTCTTGTTTGGCTGTCGTTGGAGTTGGAGACCGACAGACAAATTGATTTTAAACAAATATATATAAAAAAAAAAAAAAAAAAATATATATATTAATTTCCCTAGTTATATTTTAATATAGTTAACAATTGTAAAATGGTTGAACACAGCAGAGAAAAACAGTGAAGTCACAATCTAATCCATCTTTCAAAATTCATTTTATAGTCATTAGTGAGCTTGAATTAGAAGTAGAAGTACAAAATATTTATATAAAGCACAAATTTAAAATCTTTTATGAACCAATATAATCTAATA